CGCACCAACATTGAGAGGGAGAAGAGAGAATAGAGGGGAGAGAGAAGAGAGAAAGATATTTGCTAGTTGCATATGAACTCAGGGCCGGCCCGTAGCGCTGGCGTAATAGATGTTCGCCTAGGGCGCCAGATCTGTGGAGGCGCTGCGCTGGCAGTTTTGGGAGGGAAAAACATTTTTTTTGACCGTTGGTGCTCATCCTAATTTTCGGCCTTGATGTAACGATATTCACAATTAAGTAAATGTACACCCTTTTCACCCCGGTTACACGTTTCATTTGCCTTGTACGATGGGCGCTGTAAGTGATGAAAATGGGGGATGTTGGCTTATCTGGCAACCGCAGCTCACAGCCAAAATGCGAGTGAGTGAGGGAGAGAGGGAGGGTGCACCGGTACCGGCGCTGTTATTAGAATCTGGTGCTAGCTGCTTTAACGGATATAAGAAGAAGATGTTTCTAGAATAATGTGGAGAGAGAGTCCTCCCAGTCAGACTGAGAGGCTGATAATACAGCTCAGTGAGGTAAAGTAATCTTGAGTGTTTAGATAGTTCAAACGATTTGGTCACAATTTATGTAAACACATGTTTCCAAGGCACTCCTTTATAATTATTGGGATAAACAGGTTTGAAATCATTCCAATGTATACTATAGGACAGTAACCAAACATATCCTTTAAAACTGGAGAGATACATTTTTTTTTTTAAGGTAAAATAAGATATGAATGAACAACACAAATAAAATAAGTTACATCCATTTGTTATTGGCTATGGTAGGTTATTGGTTATGTTCACATACTTATTTGATTACATCCACTTTTCTAAGATGACAACAGAGACTTTCGACCCAAACCCAGCTGTTGACTTGTGGATGCAAGCAGCTAATCGCAGACTCAACCAGAGAGGAAGTAGTAGGCCTACATCATCAGCTACCATGTCTGACAGAGAGGAAGACAGTGAGGAGAACAGTCAGGAGGGTAGTGATGACAGCTTGTAGGATTACTGGTCGTGCTAATGTTGTCTTGTGTTCACCTCTGCATGTGTGTTCTGTGTTCACCTCTGCATGTGTGTTCAGTGCCGTGTGTCTGGCAAATAAAGACCCCCTCAAAAGTTACGGTTTATTTCATTTTAAGGATGAGCACCAAGCAACATCTCCAGGTGCTCCTTTGAGAACCAGGGCAAAAAAGTTATGTGCACCCCTGATTATTACAGTGTAGTGTATTGAAAGTTCAGACGTGATCCACGATGTACGTTTGCGACGTTATGCATGTGTGTCAGTGGTGTCAGACATATGGCCCGCAACAGGGTCCAATGCATTCTGCAGGATGAATTTGCAAAGTGTACAAATTACAGAGAAGACATTAACTGCAATTGTAACAAAATATTCACATATTTTGTATGTATACATTTTAAACATATCCAAGGCAGGGGGATAACCGAACCTTCTTCCTTAATAGTTCGACTTTGGTTTGTATGGTGGAGTGTCAGTTCAGGTTTACAACACAAGATAGTTTATTTAATGGGAACATTTTCACAATGTAATCGTGTGCACTAAACGAAGGGAGCAATTTGTGGCCACCGAAAGGACCACACTGGGTTCCCAGGAAGGCGATGTCTGGTGCAACACACCAAGAAAATGGATTGCCCTGCTACGATCAATGTTGTGCATGTGATGAAGTTCCCTGAATATAAAGTAGGCACCTTAACTTTATATTTCCTTTAATGATCATGTATTTAATGTCTTTACACAAACACACATGTTTCTGTATTTGTAGATATCTGTCAACAATGAAAAAGGGAAGCGGGAGGCATCCCAACAACTGAAACAGGCACTTAAAGATGACCAGAGCAAAGTAAAGACAGTAGCGCTCTTCGCAGCATACTTTCCCAAAATTGAAGGGCATCAAAACCACCCAGTTTCGGGACAGGTCAGTGAAATACATTTTTCATAAAAAACATTTTTTTTAATAATATTGATTTTAACAGCATTTAAAACTTGGACTTACCGAGTCCACTCTGCCTCAACTTAAACGTTCGTCTGTCCTTTGCCTTCACAAGAGAAAATATTGCAAATATGATCCTTTAGATTTAGCATGGCTGCCTCACTGAAGTTTGGATTATTTAATTCGTTAATGTATTAGTTTTATAGGTTTATGTGTTTTTTTGTTATATTAAAGAAACCTAGACTAACTAAATCCCCAACACCCCTGTCCGCACGGAGGAAACCTATTCCAAGAACAGTGGTAACCACTCAAAGTCCTCAAGAGAGAGAGAAACGACAGCAGTGTGGGACCTTATTGCGGGAAATTACTGAGCACACATACCACCTACAGGATGAGACGTTCATGTGTACGGTGATATCAAGAATAAATGATCTTTTGGAGGACGTAAAGCAACACAGCCCACATGACAATAGTCTTCCTCTCACCTTCAGGCCCCCCAAACACAAAAGGCAGGAGAGGACCATAAAACCTAGTAGACCATTAGTCCTCTCATTGTGCGTATTGCTGTGGATAGGTGTTAACTCTTTGTGTTGCCTTGTATCATATCACAAGTTGTTTTCATCCAAGGCACCACCGCCAGGTGAATGTCGGAAGCTTGGAGATTAATGGAGCTGTAAAGAAGTGGTAAGTAAAACAACTTTTTGTATGCATTGCATGTGATTGATGTAGTTATAAATAGTATATGATAAGCTGTCATTACAGTCTAAATATCTAACAGCAAAAGCAGCAAAAGGAGCAGAGTCTGAGGAGGAGATGAGGAGAGGAGGGGATATGAGAGCAAGCAGCAAAAGTAGTAGATGAAGAGAGGAGGGGATATGAGAGCAAGCAGCAAAAGCAGGAGAGTCTGAGGAGGAGATGAGGGGATATGAGAGCAAGCAGCAAAAGGAGGAGAGTCTGAGGAGGAGATGAGGAGAGGAGAACAAAGGAAACAGGGAAGACGGAGTAAAGAGCAGAGTTGAAAGCAGAGCAGGGGAAGTAGAGGAAATGTAAAAGTCACTTTGAAAAGTATCAGCAAGAAGATTAGAGTTGCATAATGTTATTTTGTTTTATTCGTTACTCTTATATTAAAGTTGTATGTTCATTTTTGTACTTAGGATAATAAAGATGATCTTAACCTTGAACTCGATTCATGACTTCATTTCATTATTAAAACCTTAATATAAATCTAATTACAGACTGGATTCAAATTAGGATGTCACACAGAACTGCAAATGCAAACCACAGAGACAGATTACTAATGTTCAGTCAATAAACTACAACATGTTAGTGCTGAATCAAATAAGCTAATCAAGAGCGACTGTGGTAGTTTCAGTAGTAATTCAATGTCAGTGGCGTCTATAGTAGTGATGAGACAAATGCAAGAGGAAAGAATGGTTGCTGGGGACAAGTGGAGATAAAAACCTTAATGGAGAGAAGAAAAATGATAACCTGACCCAGGTCTTCATAAAATAGCTTTGTATTAAAATGACATGGGGAAATAATTCAGATTGATCAGAAATAGCTTTATTGGCCAAATAAGTGTGTACACAGACAAGGAGTTTGACTGTTTTTTCTAACTCTCAATGTACTTGCATAGAAACAAACAGCTAAAAACAAGGACAACAAATCTGAATGAAGTAAACATAAACATTGACTACTATGTACAGATATTAATATATACACACAATATATACAGTATAGCTGTCTGTCAGTCTGATATGTACTGTTCCTGTGTCTGGTACTTTTGCATACTTGATTTTAATTTAGATGTTGGAACTTTTCATTATTTTAGTAAATCATCATATAGCTAAATCAACCAATCAAATACACAATCCTTAGTTACATTGTTAGTTTACCTCTCAATATGAGATATTGGTACACAAAGCAGTCAGTACATTTACTCGAATATAGAGGCTACTTAAGTACATATTCAGGGTACTTGTACTTTACTTGAGTATTTCCATTGTATACTACTTCCACTACATTTAGTTACACGACAGCTTTAGTTAGTTTTAGATTACAGTTATTCATCCCCTTCCTCCAGTGAAAACCACGTATCTCCAAATGTGTTGATGTTGAATGTTTGTGAACTGAAGGATAAAGTGTTCCTTTATGTGTTGAGAACATTTCCCTCCTTCTAAAGCCTCCTTCTTTTCTTTCGACTCCACTTCGAGCAATAGAACTATTAACAAAGCACTTATATACTAATAAAGGACTGGCTTATCTAAAGCCAGTTGAGTAGCACTTGAAATGTTTTTGCTCTATGAAACCTGATGTACTTATATGATTCTGTTTTCTTCAAGTTTGTATTTTGTTGGTCGAACGCACTTATTGTAAGTCGCTTTGGATAAAAGCGTCAGCTAAATGCAATGTAATGTAAAGTAAGGTGTTTAAAAAGCCTCTTGGATCAGCTGGAAAATGCATCGTCACAAAGCTGAAAACAGCTGTTTTTCTGAGGAACTCTTGAAAAGTTTACTTTTGAAAGATACGTGGACACAGGACAAAGCTACACATGATCTTATAGAATATGATGCATTGCTGCAGATTACACTACACAACGGGATATACAGGAGGTAAACACATCAGAAGTAACATGCAACATACATTAATGCAGCAGCAATATTCATAGAGAAACATCAGATATAATAGTGAAACACTGAAAGGGAACATTTTATTGCACCAGGAGCTATCTTGGGACTTTTACTGCGACAACGTTGACCTGCCTGTGAATAAAAAATAAACCATAGTGTTGGTGATCTACAGTGTTGTCATTCTTCTTTGAACAGCAAGACCGCTATCATCCTATTTTAACAATCACACTCCCTGTAATTGACATCATTAATAGTTTAGCTTCTCACCATCATTTGCTGTGGCCCACTGATGTTAACGATCGCAAATGAAAGGCTGCCTGCCAAACGTAAACATTCAGCCACGTGACTTGCAAACTCTCTCTCGTTGTTTGACACAACACGGATCCTTTCTAGCCATAACCGACCAGCAGGGGCGCCGAGCAGGCAACCGTCTCCTTCATCACTTCCGCTTTTAAAACAAAATGGGTGGCGCCAAAGCTTGACAACAGAGCGGCTGTTTGCAGCCTTCAACGGACACTCTGCGTCCAAATAAACAAATGCAATATCTGCTGTGTTTAAATGTCATGCCCAAAAGTTGTTTTCTGACATAAGCGACAGTGTAAAGAGGACTTTGGATAACTGCGTCACGTGAAAGTTGTACAAATGTCATCATGTCGAAGACAGACCAACTTCTTATCGTTGTGTCCATCCTTGAAGGTAAGAACACAGTTATGTTCTTAAGTACCAATTTACAATATCAATGACCAGTGTGGGACAATAGTAAATGTGTGTTACTGTATACAACGAACTTACTATTCATAATAATACAATATGTAGCATGTCCAACCTTAAGCATTGTCTCTGCTGTTTCGGTAAAAGCTAGAGACGGTCATTTATGTCAAAGCACCACATTCGGACCATTTATTACAGTAAAAGGAAAAAAACAGCCTAAAATCCAATCAATTATTTTTTTTAAGTAAGTGTCTTATGGTTTCGTGCCTACAAAACAGAACGTTTAAATACATCACCTTGGAGTTTGAGATACTAGGAGGGACATTTTTTTACTTTTTTCTGACATGTTATAGACCAAATGATTAGTCGAATAAATTGCTAGTTAGTTGGAGTCTTAAACATTTTATTGCAAATATCCCAGTAGGGAAAGAGAAGCAACAATAATTTAGAATAGATCGACTTGAGTATATCGTTTTTTCTTTAGATATGTTTACGCATCTATTCGTCAAATAGGCTTTGAAAAGTAGAAACTCACTTAGTCTAAACACCTGAAGACTTATTCAATCAGGGTTGGGAGCGGTTTATTACAATACATTTACTATTTACCTGTAACAAATGTAATCAGTAATATAATCTAAGTATGACAATATAAAAGTAATCTAACAACTTTCTATCCCTTTTGTGTAACCTCAATATCAAATGCATCCCAGAAAAATGATATTATACAAATGCTGTGCCAAAGTGTCTGCTTACCAGATAATGCCGCGAGCCATCACCGGAACCTTTATGAGACCGAGTCATGACTCATCATACATACACAAATCCAACTTTATTGTTTTTAGTGGCAAAATATCATCAAGGACTCATCTAAAATGTAAATTCAGTCTGTTGATATGCCTCAAGTCTCAAGTAACTCATTCCTGAGAGTTAATGATAATTTGAGTTGGAGAGAAAATGTTGACAACAATTCATAAATCAACTAGTATAATAAAGAGAGTGGCTCATTGTGTCACGTCAAACTGTCTTCTTATTCTTTTGTCAAATGCATCCAAACCTTTCATAGTAGTAGTATGGGGAAGATCTTTCCCAAATTCTCTCCATAAAATGGTGTCCCTCCAGAAACGCTTCGTAAGGATTGCAACAAAGTCCCATATCTCCTCTGCTCCTTTATTTAACAGTCCTCAGATTTGTACAGTTTATGACATCAACGTTTATGAAATGTGTGTTTGTATTTACAAAATATACTCAGGAAAAGGGATCATCCCTCTGCACTTCAATACAGACTTCAGAAAATGTCACAATTTCATTTTGATACAACACGCCACTCATCAAATCTCCACCCCCCTAAGTGTCTCATCTCAATGTACCATCCGTTTTAGGGAAAGATCTGGAACTCCAACCATAGCTGTTCCTCGCTGCATTGCTTCAAAACATACCTTCAAACATGATTTGACCACTATATGATGCCTGGTTTATATAGTGTTATTTTGTTAAACATTTTAGTATAGTATGTTGTCTTTAAAGTCTGCCATTTTTGTATTGAATTGAAGCAATTGTTGATATATTGATCTTTTGTTTTATATATAATTGTGATTTTGTTATCATTATTCAGGTAGAGGCTTTAAATAAGCCCAATAGGTTATTTGCCTCTTCCTGCACTCGTCATTTGTTATGTTTGTGTATTGTGAAATTGTGCAAAACCATTCAAACCTTAATGTATCTAATAGTATGTTAGCAGTGTACAGGAGACACAGTAAGGTATGTATAAACTATAAAGAAAGTTAATATGTATTTTGCTACTCAGGTCGCCAATTCCCGAAGAGTCCCCGTCTCAGTCTGGTGGTGCAGGCGAGCTTCGATGGCGAGCAGCTGGCCACAGACCCGGCCGAGCACAGCGAGCAGCCGCACTTCAGCACGGAGCTCGCCTGGGAGCTCGACCGCAGGACGCTGCACCAGCACAGGTCTCATGCTACTTTACATTACAACAACCATTTCTACCACACTCTTTTCAATTGGGTGGCTGTGGCTCAGGGCGGCTTCACTATCTAACACTTATCTCAGGGTCAGCATGAGGAAGTGTCATTGGGCAAGTTGCTTCAGATTGCTTCCAAATGGTATGGAAGTGTATTTAAGGTGGTTTGGATAAAAGTGTCAGTTAAATGTCATGTTTGTTTTACTAAGCTGATCAAATCATTCAACTGAAGTCGGCGTCACCAGACTTTAAAGATTTTTCAGATTGAGGGTGACAAAAGGTTATCGACTCAAAGATTACTTTCATAATCAATGAATCTGCATTTCCCTTTTACTTTGTTAATTGATTGCTCTATACACCAATGTATATCACACTCCTTCAGTTGTTTTAAGACGAGCTAAAGGAGAACATTGTTGTTACATTAGTTTGGAAAATAACCTAAATGATCAATCGATTATCAAAAACATGCAAAATATTTTCTTGTTGTTTGATTAATTGACTGATTGTACCAACTTTGATTCCCTGCTGTTTATTTATGGTAATATGGTAACATCACTGTTTCTAGATGTTACAATACATACATACAATTAATAATACAATACAATTAATAATAATAGTCACCATTCAAAACAAAGTCCTAGTTAGTAGAACAATGATAAACAGCTGATCACAAATAAATACTATCAGTTAGCAAAAAAGACACAAACTAAAATGACGATTTCATGTTTTGAAATGATTGTAAACCTGTTAACCTTCTCTCTCCCTCTCTTGAGTTTGATATTGTAAAGATGCATAAACCCCAAACTGTGTAATGAAGCCTCTTCTGTCCCGCAGACTGCAGAGAACTCCCATCAAGCTCCAGTGTTTTGCCATCGACTCTGTCAGTAAGAAGAAAGAGAGCGTGGGCTACATCGTGCTGGACCTCCGCTCTGCACAGGAGGTCAAACAGGTGAAGCTCTTCTCCTTCTCTCTTTGGGACATGTTACTCTCAGTGATGAAAGTCAAAATAAAGTAAACGTTTTGTTCTGTCAGGACCCTCGCTGGTATCCGTTGCTGAGCAGCAAATACACCAAACAAAGACCCGCCCTCTTCCTCAGCATGGCGCTGGAGAGCGACACCAAGCCCTCCGATCCCTCTCCTGATAGGTTCAAAGCCAAGAAAGCCCCGCCCCGACAAGGTCAGCTGGTCTGTCTGTCTGTCTGTCTGTCTGTCTGTCTGTCTGTCTGTCTGTCTGTCTGTCTGTCTGTCTGTCTGTCTGTCTGTCTGTCTGTCTGTCTGTCCATTTCAAATAAACTGACAAAAACACTTACAATAATGAAACAGACTAACTCAGCATCGTTTTTGTAACTGCAGTGCTTTTGCTCCTAAAGGAAGTGTTTTGGGCCGTTTAGAACTGTCGGCAATGTACTTTAGTACTACTAAAACCTTTCAAACTAACATAGATAGTAAGATAGATAGATTTATAGTTTATTGATCCCAATTTGGGAAATTCTTTCCTTTTGAAGCTAACAATGTTTCACTTTGGAAATAGTCTTTGTAGTGAATGTGCTGTTAATGCTGCAGCTTGGTGCTTTCTCTTTAAGCTCTCTCATGGTTCATGGACACTGTGACCTTCCGACACACATTTACATGATTGGAGATATGCTAATTAAGACCATTTTACACCATAGGATAAAATAATGAACTTAGGATATTGTACAGGCATGGATGAAAGTGTAATTTGATTGGTTGGTGGAGACATGCAGCCTTGAGGCTGTCATTCTAGTTTTCCTCGTCCTTCCTTGTAAATCATGTGCTGCTCTGCTCTGGTAGGTTCTCCTGCAGTAACTGCCATGCTGCCAGACAAGCTGGAGGCCACACTGATCCAAGACCAGGGCTACCATCAGGTGGGACCTGCAGATCACTGCGGTGACATGTTCGTCCTGTCCGTCACCGTGGCTTTTGCTACCAAACTAGAACAGGTAAGGACAGCACTTTGATCCCTGAACTCTGAGCTGTTATACTATTGTTAGTTTAGGCACACTGAGGTTAAGTTCCCGCGGGGCAACAAATCCAGATAATGTAATTACAGAAAAATGGAGAAGCACTCCTTTTTCTGTGCCGGAAACTCTTTCTTGCTTGTTTTCGCTCAAACTTCTCTTTTCACGTATAAGAATAAAGTAAGCTGACAGATGGCTGCTGTTCTGTCTCTACTGTAGTGTGTTCTATAGGTTTCTGTGCACGTTAATGGTCTGCAAAGGCAAACATCCCTGCGTTCCCTCCAGAGGGAGTTTCTCTCCCACACACTCCCCCCTTGCTGAGACACCTCCATTGGACTCCTTTGTTTATTTCAGTAATATAATATAGTGACATCATGTAACACTTGCTATTGGCTAGCGCTCCAACACATTGTGCATGAAATACTAAGGGGAGGTACATCTCTAAGCGTTTGACCAATCACAACAGAGCCAACCTGCCAACCAATCAGAGCTAATCCTAACCTATCCCTAACAACAACCTTCTTTTATATAATGTGTTGAAATTCACAGATTGATGATATTTTGAAAACGAAAGAATATCTCGGGTGGTAAATGTTGTTTAAACATTATTGTTTTAACTTTTCACCACTGACAGTCTGTCCTCCGTTGTGTCATGAAAGCCTCTGAAGACACAGACTCCAAATTACACCTCTTTAGTCAAGAAACAAAGCACTTTGGACCTTCACCAGTGGGGACTTTAGTGATGTATTTTATGTCTTAAAACTAAACGTGAAAATCTATTAAGCTAGTGTGAACCACAGATCTTTTTTCAGGCATCTTACCAAAAACACGAAGGAACCAGACGTTGCAAAAAGCTAACTCATTTCTGGCTTTTAGGACTCATTCCTACACCCTTTATCCCATAGTTTGAACCAACAAACACACTGCATGTGCTTTCTTGTTGTTTCCCACAGTTGATCCCCAGCACTCTGAAGCTGTCAGCAGAGGGATCGGGGTTCTTCTTCTACTACTCTTTACTGGGGAACGACATCACCAGCGAGCCCTTCCACAACCTGCTGAGCCCTGACTTCGAGCCGGAGCGCGCCTCTGTGCGCATCCGCAGCAGCAAACAGATCCTGCAGACCTTCCTGTCTCAGCAACCCCCTTTACAGGTGAATTATGTCCAATATATCAGAGTTTTAAAGAGGAGATATTATGCTAATTTCCATGTTCATATTTGTATTTTGTGCCTCTACTCTGTGACAAGTTTACATGTTAAACCTTTAACACACTGCAGGAAGGGGACAACCCCAAAAAGCAGAATAGGGCCCCTATACAAGAATCTATTAAAGAGTCAGGGTCCCGGGCCCTTGGCTGTCGATGCAGCGTAGAAGACGGTGATGGAGGAGGTGAGATGATCTCCCTTCTGTTCCTGGCCATGTTTCATCATAAGTTCCTGTCTCCTCAGGTGTACCTGTGCTGTGGGAACCACTCCCTGGGCAGCACAGACGTCTCTCTCTCGGCTCTCGCGGCTGTGTCTGTGGATCTGCAGAACAAGGCAGCGACGGTGGAGGGAGCGTTTATCCTCCAGCCTCCTAAACGCACCAAACAGGCGCTGCCGGCTCTGCCCCCCGACCTGCAGCCCACTGTGGGGGTGGCTGTCACCCTGAGGAGGGAGGATGTCACACCACAGGTACACAAACTCAGGCCATGTGGACTCACAGCAGGTGTTCCAAGTGTTTTTAAATGAAAGAAAAAGTGAATTAATCAGGTCATTTAGTTTGACATGTCCCAATAGAGTGGTGAAGGAATGAGGAAGTGACCAGGAACATTTGAAGAGATCTCAGAACGACTAAACAACAGCACCCTGAACATTAACCCCCTTTAGCTTAGTGATGGTGAGGAGAAGTCATGTGACAGTAATGTCATTTGTTTGTGACCAAACATTAGCTTTGGCGAAGTGTGTGTGAACGCGTGAAGAAGAGTATCTGTACCTCATCTATAGTGGATTTGTCTCAATGTCCCTCAATAGTCATTTTGATTGAGTCATGTATAGTTTGGGGTATTTTTACACCACTACATTACAAGTACTTGAATGCAGAGTAACCTATATATAGTAATTGTTTTCCCTTTTGTGCAAACACAACACAAAGTAACTGTGTGATCGGGTTAAACAGATGATGAATTTGACTCTTTTTTTTATTGTTGCAATCTACTCAACTATCAGACCCAGTGACACTCTTTGTTTAACTTTTAAACCCTACAGGAGTCTTTTTATTGCAGAAACAAAATACTTTTTTAAGAAACACTTGGCTAGCCTTCCAACACATTAGTAAAGAGTCTTTAAAGTGAGAATCTTTTCATATTTGTCAGTGCAGAAGGCTTTACTCTTCATCATATTTACTTCTCTCTGTTCTCCAGTCTTTAGGGAATAAAGAAGGAAGTGGACCTCCGACCCACTCCATCCCTCCTCCCTCTCTTCCTCCTGCTGCACAAAGGAGACCTCGAAGCTCCTCTCCGGTCCACAACCCTCCTGCCTCTCCTCCTGCCTCTCTTCCTCCGCCGTCCTCTCATACAGAGAGCGAAGCAGAGAGTCTTCTGGAGGAGCTTCAACGCGGCAAAGAGCAGGCGGGACAGCTGGAAGGTAAGGCTGTAAATACCACCGAAGAAGTCGCATCAAAGAATAATTTTGTAGCGACGATCACAGCAACAATGTAGCCGCTGGGTAGGTCTGTCTGACAAGCTTTATCCCTAAAAGAGAGCCAGAGGTCGTGAGTTTCAAGATTCAACGGCTTCATTGTCATATGCACAACAGCTACAGTGTCATTTTGGCAATGGAAATCTTATCTACCAGACATAAATAACACATACAACAATCACAATAGTGCAAGAAGAAGCAGAAATACAAATAATAACAGCATACTTTCTATTAATTGTATAAAGTCAAAATAATATCCATAGCCTACATGAAGCAAAAATAAACAATTGTGTATCAGGGGTTCACGATGAATCTAAATGAAATCATGATCGTAATATGGGTGAGGGCAATATTCAAATAGCAGGAGGGGCAATATTTGGGGGGGGCGGCAGTAGCTCAGTCTGTAGGGAATGGTCGGGGAACCGAAGGGTCGTCGGTTCAAGACCCGATAGAAGCAAAAAGACAGTGTGTTCTTGTAGCTGGAGAGGTGCCAGTTCGCCTCCTGGGCACTGCTGAGGTGTCCTTGGGCAAGGCACCGAACCCTCAACTGATTCCCGGTGGTGTGTAATTGTAAAATAACACGAGTGAAAATACTGAATTCTTCCTCAAGGATTAATAAAAGTTCATCTTAATCTTAACCTTACAGGAAAATATATGGAAATATTATTTTGAAATAAGGATTGTGCTTCTGCAAAGATAACTAAAAACTAAACTAAAAAAGATCCTAAAAATCATATTGTACTAAATAAAATATCTTTATCTGGTCAAATCCTCTTAAAGTGGACCTATCATGCTATATTTGAATAATATATTATATAACAGATCCTGCATTTTAGCCATGCCTCATTTAGCTCTATTTGCTCTATTCCAGCCCTGTTTTAGCAAGGGCTGATTCTGTGGGAAATGAGCTGCAGCTGACCACGCCCCCCTGCAAAGGAGGGGGGCGAGGCACGAGCGTCATGTTACCATGCTGTTACCATGCCACGCAACCCCACATTCCCCTGATAGGTGGAGAGTTGGCCATATAGGCGGAGCTCCTCGTTCCTGACGTCAGAGCATTTTCAAATCTGTATCAGTCTGTATCAGATCCGTTGCAGCCCCGTTTTTAGAGATTTGGGTATGGAGGAAAAGAGAGAGGGTTGTGTTTTCTGACACTTGGTGAGTTCCCTGACACACCGGGGACACATATTCATGTATAAGAGACGTACAAAGGTGCGTTTTGCATGATAGGTCACCTTTAAATAATCACATCATGATCATTTAAATATATTATTGAATGATCGTGAGAATGATGATGTGAAAATAGTCATTATTATTAATATTGTGAATCATATATCAATTGCAATACCAGTCCAAAAAAAGCCATTTCTCGATGCCTTACATTTCCCCTCTCTGTGACAAACAAAACGAATGATTAAGGTGCAGGTCTAATGAGTTACTCAGTGACATACACACACACCCTAAATAACCAACAGAGTCCCAATATTCATTGTGGTGCAGTGATGACGTATTTTTGTTGGCAGACCCGCACCATGATGGGTGCCATGATGGGTGCATGATGGGTCACAAGGGGTGCCTTGGCAAAAAACGATGTTTTTATTTATTGGTGGAATACGAAATATTGCAGAAATAAGCTCTGTGGCAAACACACCTTTATGTCGTCTTTTATTCAGCAGGATAATCTCCACATATGGACACAACTTTGCCATTTTTGAAGTGTAAATGCAAAGTACAAAGCTAACGTTCACACAATAACACATCACCACCACTTGGCTAAAGGCGGCTTATGTTCGGAGTTGATTAACAGTCTCATTTAGTCACTTGTTAGCTTCTGCTGTTTTTATGAAGCATAGAAGCTTCGGACATTCCCCAGTGGGGTAAATCATTCCGTATTTTATTTCTTTATTTCAGGAATTTAACTTAAAACAAGTTCAAAATACTGTTGACTTAAAAACGAGGGAAGCTGAAGACCTAAAATGCGAACTATTTCCGGGTTTTAGGACTCATTCCTGCAACACTCACTCTGTAGCCCAAACCCATCCCTTTCCCCAACAAGTAACATTGAATTTGTTCATGTGTCCAGCGGCAGATTTGGAGGTTCAAGCTGGAGCTACAGCAGAAGGTGGAGCTTCATCCGTCAGCGTCTCTGCTCCCAAAGTGTCCATCCCCCCCCTCCGCCCATCACTACTGCTTCTCTCTGGACCTCCGCAGCCTGGGACACCTGAGCCTCACACACCCCATCGCTGTCACACTCAGGTGAAAGACTTCATCCTAATCTCAGCTGTCTCCAGAGAACCTGTTTGGTATGATAACAGGTCACTTGTAAAACCTCCACAAATGTAAGGGAATGTCTGGTTGACATACGCTGATGCTCTTTAGTATGTTGGTATTTTACCCTACTCGACTGCCGTTGACATTGATTCCTTTTTGGACGTTTTTCTTTGTTTTGGAAATAATTGCTTTCTTTGCCTTTTTGAATGACATTAGGCGCTTTCACACCGCAGTACTTTTCCCACAAAGGTTCATGAGAACTCTTTAATCGTCAGAACGCCGACACCTCCTCTTCTCCACCGCTCCCATGTTTTCTTTTGTGTAGCCATAAGTTAGTCTCTCTGCGTTTGTGCGCTGGGCTAATGCTAATAATGCTAATGCAAGGATAATAAAATGGCCGCTTCACAAAACTTTTTGGGAGTTTTACGCGGCGTGGTTTGCAATCCGCCCAGCCAATCAGAAAAAGGTTCTCATGTTAGTTCTGGATTTTTTGTTTTAGTGTGAACGCAACATTTCGGAACTATATCGGAACTAAAGTGGGAAAAGTGTGAACGCGCCTATTGGACCTTCAGCTGCATTAAGAAGACGTTTTTTGAGTTGGACAATTCTTGTAGGCCATGAAATGTAGATATATCCACTTCATAAGTTAAAAACATCTACATGTTCTTTAAAATGTGTATTGGTGTTTTTTTGTTGTGTTGCAGGTACTCATATCAGTTCTTCGGCAGTGCTGCTCCCATCATGACCAACCCTCCTGTGGAGCTGCAGAGGAACATGGAGGCGTCTCTGCCTCAGTCTTACTGCGCCTTCGACTTTGCCGCTCTGCCACAACAACTGCAGGACACCTTCCTCAGGTACCAGAATCGTACAAAAACGAAACATATTTTCCTTTCCATGCTTAAAGGCGGGGTAGGTACGTTTGAGAAACCGGCTCGACTTTTTTTTTAAACTTGTTGTTATATTCCATGGAATTCTCTTAACATCCCGATAGCAATGAATATCTGAAGTGCTTTGACAAAAAATCCATTAAAAAATGTCATCTGTGGAAGCCGTAGTATTGTAAAAAGCACGACCAATCATTTTAGCTGGCCCGGCTAAAATAACTGGATGGTCTACCTGCCTGTCAGCCTTCCATCTGTGCACAAACTTATCTCGTGCCCTCATTGGTCATGTGCGCGTTCGTGTGTGTTGGAGGAGGGGCTCTGTGAGGAAGTGGCAGATTTGTTCCGGCTGTGTATTTTCAAATTCTAGCGCACTCGAGCTGGTTTCTCCTAAATTACCTACCCCACCTTTTAAATTGTGTAAAAAATACAGTATATGCATGCAAAGTGCTGAAAAAATAACACTACAAATAACTGAACTAATTGTTCCGCTATTACATTTGATTCTATTTTCAAACATATTTTCCACTATATTTTTATTATTGCACTAATTAATTTCTTATGTGTTGGATTCTCAGTTTTCTTGTCTTTATTACATTACATGTTAACATTGTGTAGGGAGCTGCTCCGCTTTCGGCATTGAATGTAACGCATGTCTTTTTCAAATCACTCACCTTCTAAGTATTGATACAAAATGATTATTTAAATTGTTATTTTGGGTACCAAATTCCAAAGTGTTTTAGCAACTTGTTCTGGGATCAGCAGGCACGGCACAATCATTAACTTAACATCTTATTGGCTTACAACAAAACTTGTCATTTATTTAATAAGCAGCTTCATTTGAAGACTGAAAGAGAAAAACAAATATTTAAAAAGAAAATTGACTAAAGCTACAAAAATATTATCTTTTTGTCTGCAAAATCACGTTGGTCCAGCAGATGGTGCTGTAAGACTGAGTTTTGTCTCTGAATGTTAAAAATGGAGCTGCTGTGGAAGCATTTCAGTGAAAGGTATCTGAACTCATCGTGTGTTGTAGGGTTCCTCTGGTGGTGGAGGTTTGGCACAGAGACTCCACCAGCAGGGACCAGCTGATAGGACGAGCCTCCATCCAGCTGTCCCACCTGCTGAGCTCGGAGAGGAGCAGACTGCGGGCGTCTTCCGGAGAGCAGAGCTGGAGACAGACTCACCAGGACCGCATCCCTGTGGTCGCGGCACAGCGGTAGGAAGCAGCACGGACTGACACACTGATCACTTGGTGCACGGCAACTAATGTTAAACAACTTTTTCTTTCTTTCAGTCCCGGGGAGAAGGTGGCAGAGTTGAGCTACGTGGCAACACTGGAGGACCTGGGACCGGTTAAAGCCAGAGAGGTCATCGTGTCCGACTCTTCACAGGTGGGAACGATGTGTGTTGTGGAGGTAGATTTATTATTTGTGTGAACAAATCAACAACCACTTTGTGAATGTGTAATCTGTAAATGTAAAACGACTTCCACAAATGCAACAAAAACAAACTAATTCCAGACATAAAAAACAAGTTGTAAATAATGTATGGTGGCCACGACGCATTACACAACGGCACAAAACACGTACCTTATGAGAAACGCGATGCCGTTAAAAAAATGATGCAAATATAAATAAAAACACAAATGTGCCAAAACAAATGCAAATTAAGAAACATCTTCATCAACTTGACGAAGCATGCGCAGCATTTGCTAAAAACACTGCAAAAAAACCAAAAACTGAAAGAAGCTCAAAACACCTTGACTCAAGATGGTTGTTATTGTTTTTCTCTTAGTTACAAAGTTCTTTCACATAAAACAGAACACCATTAGAAATACACCAACAGAAAAGAAAATAACAAAATGAACTAAACAATGATATAACACGTGAGATCAAACAAAAATAAAATCACATTAAAGCAATTCTAAAAAAGTGAGCCTGAGTTATGTAACCTTGCAGCAGAGTTTGGGGTATTTGCAGGGGTAAGTACAGTAATCTACTCTAGTGTTAATGGATGCATGGATGACGCTTTCAAGATGATCTAGAGAATACTGAATCGTGTAATCCAATACATCTAACCTAATAATGTTGAGATGAACTTTAACGAATAGCTACATTCATCTCTCACACTGTCAATTCAAACGTGGACATTTTCACTTTTGTAAAGTTAGAAATAATGGATGAGTGAGAATGAGTTCTTGTATTGGATTACGGTAACGGGTGTACTTCATAAAGTCACCTCTGACTGTAGTCGCCCTTTCTGTGAAGTTCTGTGATGGTATTTGTTATAAATCCTCCTCTGTCATCAGGACCAACCTGCAGTCCCCAAACAGCCGCCCTCCCACCCTGCTGCTCCAAACCACACTGTCCCCCCGCTGGGCCCCCTGGCCCCCAGAGACACCCTGGAGTACCGCACGGCCCTGGAGCTGGAGCTGTGGAAGGAGGAGCAGGAGGATCTGTTCGATGATCAGGTGCACGCAAGACTGAAAGGAACCGTGAAAAGGCCGGATATAAAAGAGTACAATTATTAGATACAATATAAAAATAACATCAGGTAAACACAAAGATGTTGCTAGCAAGTGCTAAGTAAATAGACCTACCTTGAGTCTATTTACTTCAGTATTTTCATTTGATGCTACTTATTAGGTTATGATGTTACATCTAACTCCACTACAACCATCTGACGGCACCTACTTTCTGAGCTAAGTAAAGAATTGAAAAAGACTCTTGGATCAGCTGTTAAAAGCAACGTCACAAAGATGGAAACAGGGCTGTTTTCTGAGAAACTCATGAAAGGTTGACCTTTTTAGACATACATGGTTATCACAGGAAAACCACAAAGCATATGATGAAGGCTGAATATGATGTGTTTCTGGGGACCTAACAGTGTATACAGTAGTTAAAGAGGACAAATGATGCTCATTTTCAGGTTCATATTTGTAATTTGAGCCTCTACTGTGACTTGCAGACACCATTTACAAAACCTTTTTAACACACTACAGGAAAGGGAAACCCCACAGAGCATAACAGGGCCCCTTTAATATGAGCACCGCATAGAAACGTATATACAGTACTTGTTCTACTTTATTAAGTCAAAAGGCTGATCATACTTTTCATACTTTAGTTAGGTTTTGATGGCAGGACTTCTTTTAGCAGAGTATTTGAACAGAGTGATATAAGTACCCTGTTGTGTTTGTTTCAGTTGAGGAAGAAGGAGCTGAGCCACATGCAGGCTCTGGCAGAGGAGTGGAGGAGGAGAGACCGAGAGAGAGAAGCTCTGGTCAAGAAGAAGGTGAAGCGCTCACACACACACACACACACACACACACACACACACACACACACACACACACACACCCTGCTTGCACATTACTGTATATACTGCAAGTACTTATATTCACACAGACTCATGGGACACTTACATCCTAATGTAATAATGACTGCCCATGTTTCCCTCTGGCCTTCTCCCTAAATGTCCCTCTGCCTGCAGGAAGTGGAGTACAACGTGCTGGAGGAGCAGCTTCAGAAGACTCTGTCTGATCTGGAGAAAAGAGAGAAGCAGCTGGCTGAGGCCGAGCTGGAGGTCAGACTCACTTTAACCATTTACACAGCTTTTTCAAAAATGTATTTAAAGGTCCCCTATTATGCAAAATCCACGTTTTCATGTCTCTTCTACATCAACATGTGTCCTCTGTGTAAAGAGACTGAACATTTAAGGAACAAAGATTCTCTCTCTTTTTGTCCTGATCCATTTCTATAAAAACCTGTCTGAAAATGAGCTGATCAGATTTTGGCCACTTTGTGATGTCATAATGATTTTTTGGCTTGTGTAATCATCAACCAAGGTAACCCCCCCCCCCCCCACCTTATCACCTGAATCTCCTCCTAGAGCACCATTGTGTTATTTTTAACCAAATATCTCTCAGAGGGGCGTGGGGTTTTGTTCAGATATACTTTATTGATCCAGATTTGTGATTTGTTTCCGTGACAGCAGCATGTAAACAAGGCATTGCACATGAAATAATAACAAGATATAAGAGATCTTTAAAAATGATGTCTAAGAATGGAATATAAAATATTAATTAATACAATATAAATATACACTTAATTAATTAATCCTGCTACATCTTTTTATTAGATATATGGCTGCAATTATTATTATTTTCATATTAATCATTTCATCCGCAAACTTTTTTATAGATAAATGTATTAATTGTTTGGTTAAAATTCTGACAATCTTTTTATTTACTGTCACAATGTCACATTAGACAAAGAAAAGCTGAATATTATTATATTGATGACCTTAACCAGCAGTACCGGTGAACTTTCTTCTTTTAGAAATCCTAATTGCTCCTGAATTACAATGTCTTGTTAGTGAACCAAATCTTGTATTGATACCATAACTATCTCATAAATCCAATAAATATATCAATCGGATGCTTGCTAATATCAACCTATGACTTGCCTTTAGCTAGTAATGCACCACAGTGGTGTGACTGTGTGCGTGTGTGACTGTGTGCGTGTGTGCGTGTGTGACTGTGTGTGTGTTCAGACCCAGAGGCTGCAGAGGGAGCTGCGGGCCGAACACGATCTGACCCAGAGGGAGCTGCAGGAGAGCAGCAGGAGGCTGCAGCAGGACTGTGACCACCGGGCGGCGCTGGAGAGGGACAAAGTCCGCCTGATGGAGGAGGACCGGGCCCGGCTGCTGCAGCAGGTGGGGACAGAGTGGACAAGTAGTGTGTCAATCCAGCAGTCAGCAAATACCGCTCAACCACTGTGGTTAACAATGAACCACTGCACTCTGGAGAAGAGAATACAGCTGGGGAAGTCGTTTTTCTATTTCATCGGGCTTCGTACAATTAAAAGCGACATGAGCACCCATTCTTGTTGTTGGTAGTGGCCTTGCTGAGAAAATAAGCAACATAAGCAGTAAGGTCACGAAGTGGCACCAGTCGGGCTCTGGGCGGTGGAAAAGCAACTGGTTCCTAAACAGTGAAATAGTTACAAACCAAAAAAGCACGGAGCTAGAACTGGAACTGGTTTGGGAACAGTACTCCAGTGTGTACAAAGAGGGAGTTTACCTCAAAAACAACACCATACAAATTCAGGGCTTTATTTGTCATATGCACAATATCTACAGTAATGATATTAATTAGGGCCGGGACTTTAACGCGTTAATTAAGATTAATTAATTACACAAAAATTAACGCGTTAAAAAAATTAACGCATTTTAATCTCACTTATTTTTGCACCGCGGAACGTTTCTCACTGGATGAGTTTCAGGCGTACCGATTATACTGGAGCACCAACTAACGTTCATGACTTCAGACAACAACAAACCATAGTGAACAACAGTGGGAAATGTTGTTTTAAAAAACGGACGGATGGAAGCGTCGATAAGAGCACGGTTGTGTGCAAATTATGCAAAAAGGAATTCGCATATCACCGCAGCACATCAAGCCTCAAGTATCACCTCAATGCAAAACATATAGCAGCTAGCGTGGACGTTAGCCTCTTTTATCGCGTTCACACCAAAAAGAGCCGGTACTAAAATTAGTTCACGAGAACCTTTTTACCCCCACGAAAGTCCCTGCTAGAGAGCAGGGACTTTCGTACGGCTCTCTTGTGAGAAAAGAGCTATATTTCTGATTGGCTGGGCGGATTGCAAACCACGCCCCGTAAAACTCCCAAAAAGTTTTGTGAAGCCGCCATTTTATTATCCTCGCATTAGCATTATTAGCATTAGCATTAGCCCAGCGCAGAAACGCAGAGAGACTCACTTATGGCAACACAAAATAAAACATGGGAGCGGTGGAGATGAGGAGGTGTCGGCGTTCTGGCGATTTACTCGGAAGGCTGCTGGGACTCCCAGCAGCTTCTACTGAAGCCAGTCCCCAACTCCGGGGACTTCCGGCCGGGGACTTTGGGCGGCAGTATACGCCGTGAAGTGGTTTGCGGCCTGCCAGTAAACCCAATGCAGAAGAAGAAGAAGTGACGTCAGCGGCTTCATTTGCCTAATCCACCCCCAGGTTCAAAGAGTTCTCATGAACTAAGTTCTCATGAACCTTTGTGGGAAAAGTACTGCGGTGTGAATGCGCCTAATGGTATACTAAAATCCATGTGAAAAAAATTGCTTCTCACTGTTCTCAGGACAAATATTTACATGTGATTAAAAATGCGATTAATTTCGATTAATTAATTACAAAGCCTCTAATTAATTAGATTAATTTTTTTAATCGAGTCCCGGCCCTAATATTAATATTAAAAACACATGGTATTTATATAGCACTAATCTCAATGTTTGAAGAGACTTAACAAGCAACTAAAGAAAAAAACAACAAATACAAAAAAGTTGTAAGACAATTGAAAGGAGAAGATTAAAGGTTGCTTTTTGGATATGACTATGGAGGTTGTTCCAGTTGGAAACAGCTGACCTGGGGCTAAGGGTAGGGTTGTTTAGGATTTCTAAGTGGTGAGTAATGTTTGTAGTCAATTATGTATTTGACAGCCAGCCAATGGAGGTCATGTAGGATAAGCGTAAAGTGGTCAGAGCATCCTTCAACAAAGCAACATGATATACTTAACATAAAAGTAAAAGACATAAACAATGCAATCAAATAGAACAATAGACAAAATGGAGCAAGTAAATTGCAGGCTGGGGTCTTTGATAATCCTGAGGGCTTTCTTCCTGAGTCGCTGGGAGTAGAGGTCCTCCATGGATGGCAGCTCCGTCCTGGTGACGTGCTGTGCAGTTTTCACCCCCCTCTGTAGAGTCTTACGGTTGTGTTTCTGTTTGTATCCAGATTGCAGATGGTGAGTCTCGCTATAAGCAGCTGGAGAGAGAGTTCCAGGTCTACAGAGAACAACAGAACATCAGACCTGAGTTCAGACTGCAGTCAGAGATCAACCTGCTCACTCTAGAGAAGGTAACCTACTCCTTTCTGTATCACTACTTCCAGATAACAAGTGCTTAACATGTCATAGAAAGAAATGATTTCAATATGAACTTGTCACTTAATATAAACAAAGAAATCCAACCAAAGAACAAGTGATACAAATAAATCAGAATCAGGTTTATTGTCAAGTAGGGTTGGGTATCGTTTGAATTTCCACGATTCTGATTCCGATTCCGATTCTACTTTTCGATTCCGGTTCTTAACGGTTCTCGATTCCGATTCTTTGAGGGGCAGGGTAAAAAATGATACATGCTTCTTCCACCAAAAAATTACATTTATGAGAAACTTTTACACAGGTTAGTTTCCAGTAATATTCACATGAATCAGTCTGTTTATATTCACTGCTATGTAACTGTAACCTGAGAACCACTGAAGCTACAACAGTGCAACTTTTAAAGGAAACCCCCCCCCCCCCCCCCCCCCCCCCCATTTAAAAACAGTTCTTGTTGAGAAAAACAAGCATATCTGCCTTCTCAGGCATACCGGGAAGAAATGTTTGAACATTTTAAAGTAAAATGCTTCAATCTGGTGCACTTTAAGCAGAATTACTAGAGACTAGATCTAGGGGGTACAACTCTAAACACCCATATGAAAAAGATCGGTTTACATTTGAATAATTAAATAAGTATGTGAACATAACCAATAACCTACCATAGCCAATAACAAATACATGTCACGTATTTTATTTTTGTTGTTCATTCATATCTTATTTTACTATTTTATTTATGCATATTTTTGTATCTCTCCAGTTTAAAACGATATGTCTGGTTTACTGTCCTATAGTATACATTGGAATGATTTCAAACCTGTTTTATCCCAATCATTATAAAGGAGTACCTTGGAAATATGTGTTTACATAAATTGTGATCAAAACGTTTGAGACCCACTGAGATAACTTAGACTAAAGTGAACTATCTAAACACTGAGAGTCCTTTACCTCACTGAGCTGTAGTTATCAGCCTCTCAGTCTGACTGGAGAGGACTCTCCCTCCACATCATTGTAGAAACATTTTCTTCTTCCGTTAGAGCAGCTAGCACCAGATGCTAATAACAACAGCGCCCTCCCTTTCTCCCTCGCTCAGCTGCGGGTGCCAGATAAGCCAACATCCCCCATTTTCATCACTTACAGCGCCCATCGTACAGGGCAAATGAAAAGTGTAACCGGGGTGAAAAGGGTGTTACATTTACTTAATTATGAATGTTGTTACATCAAGGCCGACAATTAGGATGAGCCCCAACGGTCAAAACATTTAATTTTTTTCCCAGAGCTGTCAGCGCAGCGCCTCCACAGATCTGGCGCCCTAGGCGAACATCCGCCAGTGCGACGGGCCGTCCCTGGTCTCAGGTTACGCTGTAGGAAGTGTAGGTACAATGCTACATTTCCCGCGCCGCCGCGGTCATACAGTAGGCTACGGAGAGCGGCGAGAAACATTTCCTCAGGCATCGAAATGCGGAACCAAAATTCACATTTCTAAATGATGCCGTTGGAATCGAAATAACGGAACCCGTTCCGAACCGGAACCGGTTCTCGGTACACAACCCTATTGTCAAGTAAGGTTACACATACAAGGAATCTGATTGGGTGTTTAAAGAGCCTGTGACACGAGTTTTCTTCTTCAAGTCCCGCCAAATTACGTGTGACGTCATTGCGGGCACAGCGCTCCATCTGCACCGTTCAGGATCCCAGCATCTGCATGTAAACGCACGATGGCGCACACAGCAGCAAGCTCAGACAGCGATGACAGTTTAATGTTGAACGTGTCTGAGAGCTCATATGAGGCTGAAGGATCGGTTTATGTTGTATCTGTTAGAAGTTTAGGAATTAGGTGCGTCAATATGGGCGATCATACGGTCATGTAGCCAGTGGTGGAATGGGACTAAAAATCATCCCGGGACTCTCGACCGGCCCACTTCGGTACCGCTAGTAAATTGTCAACGGGGGGAGTGGGGGATGTCAGGGGCGGCGGGTGCTGTAGATAGTAAATGTAAATATGTAAATATTTGTGTCACTGCATCCTGGTAAAATACAAATATAATGCAATGTCTGTGTCTTTCACATTAGCGCTGCCAGCCACCTGTGCTCTGTACTACGAAGCCAGTTCAACATACCCTGGATATGTTTGAGTAACAAACTAACTAATAACAACAAACTAACAAACGAGATCTCGCTAAGCGGTCCTACGACGCTGGTTATCAACTCGGTAAATCAAGCCAGGGTTTCTCTCTCCAGTTGAGAGCGCGTTCACGTGAAAGGGGCGGGGTTAGCTACATTTGACCAATCACAAACAGGGTGTACTGACAGCGCAGCGTCATACTTCATTAATGAAAAGTAAACTAATATTAGACAAATATGAGCTTTAGACATCCGTGACTTAAACATATAATCCAGGATACGAGCCACATAGTTGCTGCAAGGTGAATACAGAACAACTGTTTAAAAAATAACTAGGCCTACCGAGTGTTTGAAAGCGTATAGTTTTATGATATCACTGCCCCATCTAAGACACGAGTGGATCTGACTTTAATTACATTTGACTCGAGTGTTTCGTCAACATAATGTGTTGCTTAAAATAATACTTCTGCATACAGTATGTGACACTGTAAGTGTTGCACGGCCAGATACGGCAGATAAGGAAATATATGATATATTATGATATTATATGATCGATGATCTGATTGATGATGTGATATGAATGATAAGTGCGACACGTCGGCGTCTTCTCTGCATACGGCAGTTTAAACTGTATTTCCTTTATCCTGTAATATGACTTGAGAGATTTAAACTCCGCACACTGAGTTGATCTCTTTTCTATAGACGCCGGAGGCGGGCAGCGTCAGGTAAAACAAGTTATTTAGCCTTCCCAAACCTGAGCCTCACGTGCCGCCTATGGGGGATGTGCTAGTGATTTATCCGACCGGCCCACTTCGGTACCGGCCCATCGGGATTCGTCCCGATGGCCAGTCCGCGACTGCACCCAGCCCACGTAAACTGTCAACGGGGGAAGCCTCGCTGCGGGGAAACGGTGGACCTGGTGTCATGAATGGAGTGGGAATAATAATAATAATAATCCGTGCATTTTATCCATTAATTTCCCCAACATTGTGGTGAAAAAAACACACGTTTAATCCATGTTGGTGTACTACAACTACAAAAAGCATCGGTTTGTTTTCTCATCAGGAAATGCAGACCGGCTCAAACAAACGATTTTTAATCATCATCCTCACGATCATTTAATGTATCATATGTTCGACGAATTGACATGAAAGCACTAATAAATGTAGTTTCATCCACTTGAGTTTACAACTACAAAAGTAATCGATTTGTTTTTATATCACATCCTACGGGAGGAAATTCAGCAGCTCTCACTACCGATTTGTAATCCTAATGTAATCATCATCTTCACCACGATCATTTATGTTTATGTTCGCCGAATTGACATGAAAGCACTGACAAATATGAATATACTGTAGTCAACTTCATTACAACGTTATTAACGTGCCTAAACTCAGTAATTCACCATTTCTACGCATGACAACACACTTTGTCCGTGTTTGGCTCTCTCGCCGCACGGTGAAGCGTTCCCGCATTGACGTCACTTCCGGCTTCCCCCAAAACTTCAAAATGAGTCGAAGGAATTTCCCCACGATGTTCGAAATGATTGATATTTAACGGAACGGTATCGCACCTTCTTTTTTAAGATGACGGTTCGAGATGACTAGTAGCCCAATATTTCATTGCACAGCAGTTGTTGGGAGGCTGTCACAGGCTCTTTAAAGATGGATTCATTTACACAGCAAAAGGAATGAATACAAAACTATTACAAACACAATTGTAGTGTGTTGCATAGGTTGTTGTGGCTTGTGTGGTTTACGCTCTTCACTCATTTGTCAACAAAATGATAACTCTTTTTCAGCCGTGTGCGACTGACGTGTTTGCTCTGTGACCGTTAAGGTGGAGCTGGAGAGGAAGCTGGAGACCACCACCAAGTCCAAACTGCACTACAAGCAGCAGTGGGGGCGCGCCTTAAAGGAACTGGCCAGATTCAAACAGGTACTGTCTGTCTGTCTCTGTTTCATTTAGGATTCAGAGGATTTAAAAAATATATATCCCAACCTCAGAGAGTTAAACTTGGGCCTGCGACCATAGTTTTACTGTATTTTGTTTTGAAAATCCACAGCGGAGGTTTGTGTCGTACTACATGCGGTGTGTTTTGCATATCTCTCAGTAGCCAACGATCTGTGAGTCTGTTGGCTCGGACATAAACTCCGCAATAAATGTAGTCTACATTTCATAAGAGCTGTAAAACCTATGAGCATTTTAAATCACATTTGAACGAAAGGCTTATATAATCTGTAGTTGTTATTGTTGATTTAATGTGTGAGCGAGGCGATATAGAGAGTTCATGTTAAGCTGTTGTTATTATTAGGCTGTACTTTGTTATAAACTGTTGGAGTGGTAAGCAGGCCTATTGTTTTTGGATATTTGGGGAGTCAGGTGGTCTGCGAGTGTTTTTTTATTGGTTAAGTGGTCCTTGGTATGAAAACGTTTGAGAAACACTGCAGTAGAGGGACAACATACAAATATGAACCTGAAAAGGAGCGTACTATGGCTCCTTTAAGTTAAGGGTTCATATGTTCATTATTAGAATCAGACAAAACAGAATTGAAATGACTGAACAGAGCTCTGACAGCAACATACGATTATTTGTATTATCAATGAATGAACTCATCAATGAATTGTTGGATCTATGAACTATAAAAACAATTGTAATTTAATTGTTTATGCCTTATAATGTCAACATTTGAATCCGAATTGTATCAGACTATTTAAATGTGGCTGTTAATTTCTGTGGATTGATTCAAATAGAAAAAAAGCCAGTTCTTGTACAAGTTCTTAAAAGACTCGAGAGCCTCCTTGAATACTATAAGAGAGACAGTTCAACATGTACAAAGTAAATTACCCCATGACCGAAATTGAAATGAACTGAAATAATGAATAGATAAATGCACTGATAAGAGTAACTCTGATGAACCACCATCAAAACAACTGAAGGAAAGACATGATGGAAAGCCGCGCTGCGTCCTGACAGCGCTCATATTTCACAGCAGATAAACGTAGTTTTCTGAGTTGGGACTTCTGCCGTGTTCAGGACGCTGCAGGGTTTTAATCTGCTGCTGGAGACGAGCTGACAGTGTTAGGACATTTAACAGCTCTGTTTAAAGACACGCTGCAAGCAGAGGAAACCGAGCTCAGCCGGCCGCCATCCGTCAGACAAAATAACACCAATATCGTGTGCCTGAGTACAGAGTGGACATGGCCCTGAGCCTAAAGGCTACAGAGGCTCATGTTCCCTTAGATACAAAAAAGCACCACTAACACAGTCAAAAATACCTGCATACAAGTCAAAGCCCTGCACTCAAAGTCAACTCATATCAGCAGCAAAATTGCTATATTATTAAAATAACTCAATGTTAAGAGTTGTACCGGTAAAATTAATGATCAATGTTTCATGTTATCTTGTTTTGTTTATTTAACAATTTTTTGGGATTTTTTTGAATGGCATCACGTAATGATGCCAGACGGTATAACTACTTATTAAATATGGATACATAAATGTAGTGATCATTCATTCATTTCCTGTTATTTCTTCTGACAATGACAAGAAATAACCTCTTATCCCGACATAAAAACATTTAGAAAATAAATTGACCCTAGGTAAAAAATATGTACGCACAGCCCCTAGCTTAAAGTGGACCTATATTTGAAACATATATTGTAGGGCCATACCTATATAAAATATATATATTTTTTCAAAATACCAAACAGATCCCGCATTTTAGCCAAGCCTCATTTCGCTCTATTTGCTCTTTCCAGCCCTGTTTTTGCAGGGGGCTGATTCTGTGAGCTGCAGCTGACCACGCCCCCCTGCAGGAGAGGGGAGTTGCCAGTTACTTTGGCATTAGGGCAGGGATATCTAGATACTTTCCAAGGTCTGACATCATGAATTTTGCTACTTTTAAAGCAAGCAACGATGTTTTCAAATATGTAATCAAAAAGCTCCTCAAAAACACTATCGAAGCAGTTCCTGCCGTTGCTACGTTAGTTCAAACAGTAACAACGGACTACTTTTCTTAGCGGATGCATGTCAATTTAAATCAATACAACAATTTTTTAAATCAATAAAATCATTTTCTAAATCCATAAAAGCATTTCAATTAATATTGGGAGTCATGTCGTTACTTTGTCGAGAATGTGGCCATGTAACAAGCGGGATAATATGCACATTGCATAATGTGCTTTCATGCCGATCTAGATCCCTCCGCTTCGCGTCGGGCTCCTGATCAGCCTGTCGGTGTTCTTTTCCCCATAATGACCGCGTCGCTGCACATTATCCCTTACATATGATTATATAGAGTCATTATTCATTTGTTTTAAAACAGGAGGCGCAAAAGCTTGCCTCGGGGAGGGAGAAAAAGAGCCACAGCGGAGAATAAACAGAAGGGCAACCATGGCAACCATGCAAGGGAAGTCTTCTTCGCTGCTTTTGTGGCAGACTACAGCACCACTTACAGGCCTGGCATATGTACTACAGCGTCTCCAGCGCTTTCGAGCAGCAATGGCCGGCCGTGGCCCAACCTCTCATTCCCCTGATAGGTGGAGAGTTGACCAATAGCCGTAGCACCACTTTACTGACGTCAGTAAAGTGTTCAAATCTGGATCAGTCTGTATCAGATCCGTTGCAGACCCGTTTTTAGAGATTTGGGTATGGAGGAAAATAGAGAGGGTTGTGTTTTCTGACACTTGGTAAGTTCCCTGGAACACCGGGGACACATATTCATGTATAAAATACGTATAAAAGTGCATTTTGCATGATAGGTCACCTTTAAGCTTTTTAAAGTTTAAGCTTTTCAGTGGACAGAATCCATTTGATTTCTAACAAGGCTTTTATTACAAACAGTTCATAACCCAGCGGTGGAAGAAGTATTCAGATCCTGTAATTGAGAAAGTGCACTATGTTAAAATACTCCGTTACAAGTAAAAGCCCTACATTTCATTTCCTACCAAGGGTTAGAGGAGTACCCTGTACTCGAAAAAGTACAGAAGTATTATCAGCAACATTACCTCAAGCTATTATTCAACTGGGTTCATCTTAGAGATGCAAAGTCTAAAGTGTATAATGTTTTTTTTAAAGCAAATCTTAATCTGAAAAGTAACCAAAGCTTTAACATGAATGTACTGGAGTAAAATATATGAATTCCCTTGTTACATTTAGAGCAGTATAAGTATAAAGTAGTACTTGATTGGAATATTCAAGTAAAAAGTACAAGTTCCTCAAAATGTTAAGTAATTCATTACTTTCAACCACTGTGACCTCTCCACAATAAAAGCATCCCCTAAGATATCCAGGGGCACGCTTTTATTTTGAAGAAACAACAGCAGCAACTGTTCGGCTTGCTTTAGCTGTGTGTGTGTGTGTGTGTGTGTGTGTGTGTGTGTGTGTGTGTGTGTGTGTGTGTGTGTGTGTGTGTTGTGTGTGTGTGTGTGTGTGTGTGTGTGTGTGTGTGTGTGTGTGTGTGTGTGTGTGTGTGTGTGTGTGTTGTGTGTGTGTGTGTGTGTGTGTGTGTGTGTGTGTGTGTGTGTGTGTGTGTGTGTGTGTGTGTGTGTGTGTGTGTGTGTGTGTGTGTGTGTGTGTGTGTGTGTGTGTGTGTGTGTGTGTGTGTGTGTGTACACACACTGATGGCTCTCACACATTTCATTGTCTACTTTACCTCAGCTAAATATTTGGCTCTGGTGTAAAAACACACCTCTCTTTTTCTTTCTCGCTCACTTTTTCCTTTTCCTACACACACACACACACACACACACACACTCACACACAGCACTAAGTGGGGCTTTAGTCAGCCTAAGACTAATGTAAACACACACAGACCTTATCTGACAAACTAATAACTGTTACTGACATAAAACAGCTGGAAAACTGGGCAGACATATTTCCTCTTTTCTTTTTGTATGAATCTGTCTCCCCCCCCTCTGTTTTTCTTCCCAATGACTCCCTTCATACTCCTCTCTCTCTATCCTTCTCTTCCTCCTCCTGTTACCCTCAACCACTCCACTTTATTTCTTTTCATCTTTCTGGGTCTCTTTGCCTACTTTCTCTTCCTCTCTGTCTAGCTTTGATTTGATCTAATGTGTCCTTCCTCTTATCCCTCGATTCAATTATCTAACATTTCTTTCTCATGTATTGTTTCTGTTTGTATAGACCATTTTTCTTTCTTCTCTTTTAAGTCTCCCTCCTCCCCTCTCTAAGTGCCACATCATTGTAAAGAAAACACGGTGTGATTTATGCAGCTCTAAGGGGGTTCAGCGCTGAGTGTCACCCCCCGCCTATTAATCATCCCTGGGATTGCGTTGAGCAACAAGCTAGCCACGCTAACTATTCAGATGTCACACTCTCGCTTTTTATAAAATATCAGGCGTGTGTTTACACGACCATCCGTCTTGGCGCTCTGCGGTTTTTAAAGCCGGCTCTTGTTTGGTTTTTCTCGGCCTCTCCGCGCCTATTTATCCTCTCCTCTCAGCGCCTCGCATGGCGTGCTGTTTAGCTCAAGTCAGATCATAAAAATTCTTGTCTGAGGAATAATGTGCTTTTCAACCCAGGAGGTTCCGAGCGAGAATAAATGCCCAGACACCGCTGAGGTATTAGATCAGAGAGTTAGCCCCTTTTTTTATATTCAAAATATTGGGACAAGGAGCTTAAGTTGGTCTTTTCAAAGCAAAAATACGGGACAAAGAGATTCAAGTTCTGAGCCTGGAAGCTACATTTTGTAATTGTACAGCCCAAGTAGAAGGTCAGGCAACTAAATGTGGCTTTTAAACAGCTTGTTGAAGCAGAAAAGAGAACTAAGCTGTTATTTTATAAAGGCCATAAAGAAAAAAAGCACTTCTTTCTATCTTGAATCCAACACTAACATGAGCCGTCTGTACAAACGTCCAGTTTTTCAAAACAGCAAGAAAGTCTGATCTTTGGTAAATGAATTCCAATCGACGTC